AAGTAATACTTACTCCGGAAATAACCAAAGAATAATCAACATCTCGAACTAGACTAAAAGTTTCAAACACAAAATAAAAACCCTTTTATGGAACGGTAAAATGATAAACCCTTTTCATAAAAGCGTAGAACAAAAACCCTTGACTGTAGAATGATAAACCCTTTTCATGAAACAGTAGAACAATAAACCCTTAGCCGTAGAATAATAAACCCTTTTCATGAAAGGTAGAACAATAAACCCTTTTCGCTAGTCATAAACCCTTTTTATTTTTAAATACCCTTTTTCTACGAAACCCTTTCGCACAAAAATCCTTTAAGGGTTTAACACACCAGCATAAACCCTTTAAGGGTTTAGGAAGATTTTCCTAAAGTACTAGGGTTTATTATTCTGCGAATTTTTTCTACAGTGTGGTCATGGAATGTATTCACTTCAAATTATTCCTCTTGTATATGTTTTACTTACTGGAAAAAATACTGATGATTATAATAGCCTTTTTGAACAGCTCTTATTGCATTATGTTTATGAACCTGAGTCTGTTTTAGTTGATCTTGAGAGTGCTACTCTTAAATCAACTAAGACAATGTTTCCCGAAGCTACTCAGATAGGTAATTTATATACGACTTTTTTGAGTCAAAAATTACTTTTGCTATAAGTTTCGGTTGGCTATTTCACTTTGGACAGTGCTTGTGGCGAGAAGTACAATCATTAGGTTTACAAAATAAATACACGAATGATGATAAATTTCGTATAAACGTAAAAAAACTAATGGGACTTGCATTTGTACCTGTTGGTGATGTACTTAAAGCTTATTCATCTTTAATTAATGATTTTGATGACGAAGATTATCTTTTACTTGATTATTTTGAACGAGTATGGGTTGGTCAAAAGAAGAGTAGAGGCCTGTGTCATTTTAGATCTATATCTTTGATATATTTAATACTATAACGTTAATTTAGGTAGCCGACGTGATAAACCAAGATTTAGTTTACAATTATGGAATATTTATGATCGAGTTATACAAGACTTGTCAAGATCTAATAATGCCATAGAGGGTTGGCATCATGCATTCAATACTAGTGTATCAATCAAACATCCTTCTATAACTAAACTTGCAAAATGTATACTACGTGTACAAGCCAGATTTGAAATAGATATTGAACGACTTCGTGCAGGTGAACTACCAAAGAAAAATAAAAAAGAGTTTATGTTGATGTTGACGCAAGATTGAAAAGAATCGCACTATCTTATGATGTCAATAAAATCGAGGAACATTTAACTAGAATTGCTATGAACTTGAAAATATGGACTTGAATTTATTTTAATAAAATTTTTTTAAATATTATTGCAATGTAAATTGATAGATACTGTATGGGACGAAATGTAGAGGCACAAAATAAATTTGGCACGATTTGTAAGGGGATAAAATGAAATTGGAACAAAATGTAAATGGGACGAATTGTAAATGGGACGAATAGTAAGGGGTCGAATTGTAAAGGGACGAAAAGCAGGGAACGAAATGTAGGGGTACCGTCTATTAGCCCCGACGAGAACACCCTGTGATGGCAACCAATTGCGCTGGATATTGTACTCTGGAGTAAGTCATCCGAGGATTGTCAGCTCCTTTGAACCAGTCAAATCGAAATAAGCATCCTGCTCGAATAGATTCCGGAAGAGCATAACATTCGCCACGAGACGAGACACCACCATAGCGATGGTCCCAACCATTAGATGATGAATTCCATTGAGAGCTACATCCATTGAACAATCCAACACCTCCTCCAGGAATTTGTAAATCGAATTGCTGTGATCTTACATCATCACCACTATTTGTGATCTGCACAATCATTGACTTTCATTGAACCGGACCACTAGTAAAATCTAATTTGTAGCAAGTACTGCAACGGTCTTGCTCACTTAATCCCGGTATGGTGGCAGCAGCAAAACCGTAGGCAAGTTGATCGTTCACAGCCCATGGTTGCTGATTGTTGCAGGTGAATGCTGCTTCTCCATGACATCCATTGCCAGCATGAGGATTGCTCCAAACCCAATTACCATCTTTTTGACAACTTTTCACATACGCATTGCTTCCAGCCACTTTACCAGACCAAGAGCAGCGGGGTTTACAGCAATCCCAGTATCGAGTGGTAGTTGCGTCAGTTTTACCAGCCGATGGTCCCCCTCTCGCCCGC